ATGCAATGTTTTGCGCCTCTTTTGCTGAAACTTTTAAGACACCTGTTGCTTCTGCCTACCCCTCGGCTCAGCCCTGCTTACAGCACTGGGCTCCTGCGCTTCCAGCAAGGACACTATATGAAGGAGGCACTTATGTGAGTTGATTTTATTCATAATAGTTTAAGTTATTTGGCCTCCACCTAAAATTGGCTTTTACCATGTAAACCAAGGATGGCAATTTTAGGTTGCAGATCCATGCAGCTGACTTTGACAGAGCTCTGTGTTTGTGCAGTTATTAACATGTCTGGGTATTCTTGGGTTCATTCTGTGCTCTACTTGGTACTTGCTGGATGTGCTGTGCTGCCCCCTTGTGGCTAATAAACAGACAACAAGGCCACTCTACAGGCAATTGTATGGTTTATGTAACTATGTGCTGCTATGTATTGTGCCTTTTAATGTCATTGGCTGTCAGGAAAGAAAAATATATTAACCTTCAAGCTGAGTCTAAAGTAAAAGTATAGTATATGCACAGTCCAGTTACAGTTACAGTATGTATGTACAGTCCAGTTACAGTATGTTTTGCTTAAAGATTTTCATGAGACTTTTACCTCTTTGCATTAACACAGTTTATCCTTTGTATCTCATACACTGATGTGTCCATTATTCATCCATGAGTAATCTGTATGTCAGGAAGGCTGATATCCTCCCTGCTGAAATAAAGGATAAGCCACACAGCATCTGTTTTCAGTCTGAGCAGAGTTGTAGAGTTGTACACTGAGAGAATTAGGGGGGTCCCTAGCTTTTTTGAGGGGAGGGAGGCTGGGGTGCAGCGTCAGGCTGATCTCCTGACAACCAGTGACATCACTGCATCACTGGTTGCCAGGAGCTTAGTGGGACGCTCTGGCCAACGTCCAGCCAAGCTGGTTGCCAGGAGCTCAGCAAGATGCAGGCAAGAGCATCCCAGGTTGCTGGGCTGGGAGATGTATATGGTCCGTACACATCTCCCCACCGCCCGGCTCTTGGAAATCTGGGATACTCTTGACTGGAAAGGGGGCGACATTGGCATGTACCCCCATAAGATGCTGCCTGATGTTTCAGGCTGCTTCATTATAGGGATGGCCCTGTGGAGAATAACAATAAAATCCAACCATTGTGTAGAACTATCTAGCAGTAAGCAAAGGCTGCATATATAACTTTGTTATCTTCATATGGATAAATAATTACAAACAAGAAATGGGAACCATTTTTTGTAGCTTTTTTTTTTTAGAAACTCTTGCTTTTGGGGGAAACCAAAGTGTGTGTGTGTGTGTAGATGTATATATAAATATGTATGTGTGTATATATATATATGTGTGTGTGTGTGTGTGTGTATCTATATATAGCTATATATATAGATAGATATATATATATATATATCTATCTCTCTGTATATTAGATATATATCTATATTTAGA